TTTGGGGCTGAGGGCTTAGGGTTTAGCATTTAGGCACGGTTTAGGGATTTCGGGTTTAGGCCCCTTAAAATATATTAAGCTGCCGGATTAGCCTGGGCTTCGGAGTCCACAGAGCCCTAACACATGATCTTAACCCCCCAATGACCTACCTGTCTAAGGGCTGATTATGACAAGGAGTTCTTAAGAAGGAGCCCGAAAAAGGTAGGTTTCATAAGACCCAGGTATCCTTCAACTCCTTCACCCCCAAGTCGCTACGCCTCACATTGGGTTTAGAGTTTAGAAATTAATAAATTAGGGTTTAGGGATTAGTAATACACTCCGCGTATGGCTTTACACTATCCTCCTGGAAACCTTATATAAACCCATAGCAAGAACTATAAAAGAACCCTCTATTACTTGTTTTGTGCCTTGGCCCCCAACCCTAAACCCTAAAAATCCAAAACCCTAAACCCTAAACCCAATCATCTGCTATTGCTGCCTACCTTTGTGCCTTTGCTCTAAGGGCTTTAGGAGGGACCCTTAATAGGGACCCTTGTAGGGTATTGGGGTTGATATGGAGACTACCTGGCTATACAAGGGGTATATAAGGACTATACAATGGTTATTTCAGGTAATGGGATTAAGGGTCCCTATTAGGGGTCCCTCCTAAAGTCCTTAGATTTGCCAAGCTTGGATTCAGTTGCGCGACGAGGAAGCCCAGCTCAGTGGTGGAGTTGACAAGATCGCAGGCCCGCCTGAACTGATGTGTCTTTAGGGAGTTTAGGCTAAACTACACTAAGCCCTAAACACGCCTGAAACTGATGTGTCTTTAGGGAGTTTACGGGTTTAGGGTTTAGGGTTTAGCGAGTTTCGGGTTTCGGGGTTAGGTGCTTTTGTTCAGAATTTCATGAGGAACCCCCAAAATAGTACAGGCAATTATCAAGGCCCCTAGATTTCTAAGATGGAGGACAGCCTAAACCCTTTTCCCTAAACCCTAAATCCTAAACCCCTAAACCCTAAACCCCTAAACCCTAAACCCTAAACCCTGACAGCTAGCGGGTCGCAGGTAGGAGTTCATCTCTAGCGCCTTGAGGGTTGAGGCCTTGGGTCGATGCTTAAGTCAAAGCTTTCTGGCTCAAGGAGGCATTGGGTTCAGGGTTTAGGGTTTGGGGTTTAAGTCAAAGCTTTCTGGCTCAAGGTTGAATTGGGTATAAGGTCAGGGTTTAGGGTTTAAGTCAAAGCTTTCTGGTTCAAGGTTGCATTGGGTATAGGGTATAAGGTCAGGGGTTTGGGTTTAAGCCAAAGCTTTCTGGTTCAAGGTTGCATTGGGTATAGGGTTTAGGGCTTGTTTAGGGTTTAAGTCAAGGCTTTTTGGTTCAAGATTGCATTGCGTTCAGGGTTTAGGGTTTAAGTCAAGGCTTTCTGGTTCAAGGTTGCATTGGGTATAGGGTTTAGGGCTTGTTTAGGGTTTAAGTCAAGGCTTTTTGGTTCAAACTTGCATTGGGTTCAGGCTTTAGGGTTTAAGTCAAGGCTTTTGGTTCAACATTGCCTGGGGTTCAGGGTTGAGGGTTTACGTCAAGATCTGTTTTGGTTCAAGGTTGAATTGGGTCTAGGGTTTAGGGTTTAGGGTCTAAGTCAAGGCTTTTTGGTTCAAGATTGCATGGGGTTCAGGGTTTAGGTCGTAAGTCGCAGCTTTTCGGGGTACAGTAAGTCTCCTTGATGCCTTGATGACTTGTCACAAGTAGTATAGTGGGTATAAACAATTGCCAGTCCAATATTGTTCCGTAAATTTCCTTATTCCAACTCAAACCCTTTTCTAGTTATTAAGGACCCTAAAACCCTAAACCCTAAACCCTAAACCCGAAACCCGAAACCCTAAACCCTACTCTAGTTATGAGGTCCCCTACATTGGTTTCCCAACATCCGGATCTCCCTTGAGAGGTGTCCGTGGCATATGTAGGGCTTGGGGTTTAGGATTTAGGG